TCTTCTCTCCCCACTTCTTTTCTTGGTTGTTTGTTTGATTGTTTCTTACGTCCAGTGCTGAAATTTTGTTCAAGCCACAGAGTACGACTGAAACAACTGAACCCAAACATCTGAATGTTCAGTGCTGTATTTGTGATGAATTTACCCAAAACCTACTCACATGAACTACTATACTAAAAATTAACGACTACACTCATTAATTATGCCCCATAATTATTATGTCCTGCTAGAGAAGAGCTAATTGTGGTTTGTTTCAGGGATGGTTTTTTTTTTCTATTTGAAAGTTGCAGTTTTGCATTGGGTCATTTGAAAGGCTGGGAGAGCTGGAGGTGTTCACCTGGAGAAGGGAAGGCTCCATGGAGACCTGAGAGCCCCTTCCAGGGCCTAAAGGGGCTCCAGGAGAGCTGGAGAGGGACTGGGGACAAGGGATGGAGGGACAGGACAAGGGGGAATGGCTTCAAACTGACAGAGAACATGTTTAGATGAAATATTGGGAGGGTGGGGAGGCCCTGGCACAGGTTGCCCAGAAAAGCTGTGGCTGCCCCTGGATCCCTGGAAGTGTCCAAGGCCAAGTCCAGACAAGTCTTGGAGCAACCTGGGCTAGTGGAAGGTGTTCCTGCCCATGGCAGGGGGTGGGATGAAATGTTCTTTAATGTCCCTCCCAACCCAAACCACTCTGATTCTCTGATGTACCTCACATACTCTCTAAATTAAAGAAACAATAAATTTCTGCCAGAACATAAAATTATTTTTAAGCCTCCTTAGTATCTACCCTGGTAACCACCTACAATTCAGTCCTTCCTCACTAACTTCTCTCAGTTCATCTTTTCCTATTTATCCTATTTATTTTATCCTATTTGATAAAAAAAGGGAAGAATTACATCAGCTTAAACTGCTGCCAAGTGCCTGCCACTGGGATTATGCTTCATAATTGAATGACAGCCATGGCAAATAAAGCAGACACACCCTGTAAATCACATCTAACTGAGCCCATATCCGAACACCAGCCATTCCAGGGACTGCAATTAACCCACTGCTCTTTTCCCATGGTTCTCCCTCCTGGAGATGGTTGGGAACATGCTGGGAACTTCAGGAAGGTGAAACTGGGGGTTATCTGTGCATAAAGAGTTGTGTGGTGGTCGCTCAACCCGCCCCTGCTAAGGCCACAAACAGCTTTAGGGGAAAGGAAAGGTTTCAAGGTGAGTCTCGGTTTTCTGGCACGAAAAAAAAAATGGATAAATGGCAATAGAAACAATCTGGCTTCACTGGAAACTCCAGATCCTGATCTTCACAAGCCAGAGGCTGAGGCAGATACAGATACCCAGATGATGAGTTTTAACCTCAGGTATTTCAACCCCTCCTTTGCTTTCAAAACAAATAAGCAAACCATCAGTGACCAGGGTCTGCCCATGAGTCTGACCCTTATTTTCACCCATCATCTCCTCCTGCCACTCTGGAAAAAGGCACTCCTTGCTAACTGGTGTTTCCACAAGTAGGGCTTCCAGAAGCAGCATCCCCTGCCATCCAGCTGGAAGGCCCTTGTTGGGGAATACTTACTGCCCCCACTGGGATAATCTAAATACATATTTGTGCTTGGGACGTAAAAATATAATTAATGAACGTGCTTTTCCTCTGAAAGTCTGATAAAATGGGATTCTCTTGTAAATTTTGCTATAAAAGTTGGTGTTTTACAAAACTTTCAGCTACCATATGAAGACAAAGCAACTCAATCCAGTTCCACCAAGCCCTGTCCAACCTGGGCTAGTGGGAGGTGTCCCTGCCCTTGGCAGGGGAGTGGAACAAGATGAGCTTTAAGGTCCCTTCCAACCCAAACCATTCTGGGATTCTCTGACCCTAATACCCCATATTTGAGGATCATCAAAGCTGTTGTCAGTGACAGGAATAATGAGAATAGGAGGAGAATATCAGTTTCTTTTCAAAATTACTCAGATGACGTGAACTCATGAACGCAGAAGATGACAGCAAGTGCATTTGAAACTCCTACTAAGAACCTGACTTCCCCAGTAGCATCAAAATCTGAATAATTTCTACAGTGCAAGCTCTACATGTACTTTATTAATGTTCTTCTGAATTTCAACCTGGAAAACTACTCTTTTAATTTTACTCACCTGAGCTGTTCAAGAAAAGACATTCATTTGATTAATTATTTTTAAACAAACTGGAATGGGGACTGTACTTAACTAACAGTAATTACTTTTCCTTTCTACAGGCCAGAAAACAAGCTAAGTGGCACTGAGTGCTGAAAATGCTCAGTGCTAGAACAATAAATTACAGCCTGATTCTCTGCAACAAGAGCACTTCTTAATTGTTTCTAATTTTACTTTAACTAAACACACAGTTTGATGCCATCCACTTATAACAATTTCTGGCTTCTGCCTCGTTCCATTTTGCCTGTCAGCAAAGTCAGGGAGAATTCTGTCAGGAATAGCTTCGAGAAATAAAACTGTTATTTTTTTTTGGTCCTCCTTTGATGATCTTGTCCTCTGATGGCCTTTTCTGAGTCAAATGTTTCTGAAGGGGACAAGCAGATTCCCCCTCTTCACCCCCAAATTTCCCCCACCTGTATAGCTGCTCTTTTCTACCCCTTTCTTATCCCTTCTGGCTGACACACATGAATATCTGTGCCTAAGAAGTCAGGGATGGCTCTTGGAAAAGCAGGAAGGATCTCACAGCCTGGCCACGTTTCGTATGATCAACTCAAAATGTCATCTGGCATCTGTGACTCGTGTTTCATTTACTTTCAGACACAAAACACTCCTTTACCTAAATAACTGTGCCCTTCAGAATTCTTGATCTCCTGCAGTGCCATTGTGCAGGTCCTGTTATGGGCTCCCCACAAGCCCCTGGCAGGAGCTGGAGCCAGGTGAGTGTCAGTCGAGTGACAGGACGAGAGGAAATGGCCTCAAGTTGCACCAGGGGAGGTTTAGGGTGGATATTATGAAAGGTTTCTTCACAGACAAGGTTGTAAAGCCTTGGAAGTGGCTGCCCAGGGACGTGGTGGACTCACATCCCTGGAGGTGTTCAAAAGCCACGGGGATGTGGCCCCTGGGGACATGAGTTAGTGGGGAACACGGTGGTGGTGCTGGTTGATGCTTGGACTTGTGGACCTTAAAGGCCTTCTACAACCCTAGTGATTCTATGATTCTTCAGTCCTTCTGAAATTTGCCAGAATTTTTGTAGTTTTTGAGTATGTTAAACCTTCAGCTTAAGGTCTGCAGCTGGAAGCAACGACCAGCGAAAAGTCAGGAGGGAAAAACAAAAGTTTAACAGAAATACTACCCCCACCTGCAAAACTCTGCTCAGTTATGGTCTCAGACCACCCCAACAGCAACACTGCCAGTGCTGATTTGTGCACCTAGAATTTCCTTTTCACTGGAGAAGGGGAGACCTTCTTGTTCTCCCTGACAGGAGAGGGGAGCTGGGGGGGGTCGGGCTCTGCTCCCAGGGACAAGGGACAGGAGGAGAGGGAACGGCCTCCAGCTGTGCCAGGGGAGGTTTAGATTGGATATTGGGAAAAATGTCTTCACAGAAAGGAACAGGCTGCCCACGGGGTGGTGTCACCACCCCTGAAGGGATTTAAGAGCCCTTTGGGGACATGGGTTAGTGGTGGCCTTGGCAGCGTCGAGGGAACGGTTGGACTCGATGACCTCAGGGGGCTTTTCCAACCTAAATGATCCCGTGAACCAGGCACACACCCAGCCACGTGTCAGCACCCATTTCACACGGCAGAGAAACCTGGTGGAGATTAAAATTTCAATGCAGAAGACGGAGGGAAAGAAATTTGGTCCCAGGAAATCCCGCAGATCTTTTTCCGAGTGTGTCCTTCACACAGTGGTGCTGTCACTTCACAGCTTCTTTAACCCCACAGAAATAAGTCTTTAAAAAAACCTCAGGTGTTGCTACGTGACTCTTTTTTTTTTGGCTTTGTTTATGAAGCCTGAACTGAGTGTTCACATTTGATGAAGTCGGTGAAGTAGAAGCTTAACACTTTTCCCACTTCTCTGTCGTTTCTGGGCTTATTTTGGGAAGGACTGCCAAGAAAAAACGATGGACAACTCTTTAATAATCTCTGATCTTCTCTATTTCATTCCTGGCACTCTAAAACACATCATGAGGTCAAAAGAAAGCTGAGCAGGTCATATTTCTGTGCCCTTTCATGCATAAGCTGGAATCAGCAACTTCAAAGCTATTCCACTAATGTTTAAAGTGAACAGAGATGCAGGAGATCTGCTGAGGGAACAGAATAAAGCCAGAGGAAAGAAGCTGCCTTGGCAGCTCAAGCTGCCTCAAGCACAAAAGATTGTGTCACAGAAGCAGTTTTATTGAAAAAAAAAAGCATTTTATTGAAGACTTATTGCTTTTACCCTTAGCTATTTTTATGTCTGGTTCTAATTAGATTCTATGTATTATATTTTCTTGAATTTTTTCTATTTTTAAAAACCTTCCAGTTAATTTTCCCTCAAAATTATGTCCAAGTGCTGACCTGAAACAGAAACTGTTCTTTCCCTTTTAAAATCTAAACATGCTGCTGCCCAGTACTCAGAAAAAATTAAGGCAAAAACTGGTGTTGACCATCAAAAAATCATCAATATTAACAGATATAAAATGAAAGCTACAAACCCTCGTGGGAAATAAGCACCTAAAACTCAGTAGAAAAACCCCCTGGTTTTTAACTCAAAATCATCCTTGTGTTAGTAATTGCTGGAACAGCAGGACAAGGCATGTCAATCATACCCACACCAATGGAAACCAACACACCCTTATTCATACTCAAACACTGATTTCAGCAGAAAAATGGCCCATTCTGTGCTCGTTATTCTTGTTTCTAAGAAGAAATACAGCCAAAATTGGTGCCAGTGCCTGAGAAACTCCAGCAGCTTTAGGAGACACATATTTCAAAATCTCCTGTGAAAAATCAAACCAGTGAGTAAATATTTTCCCACTGCAAGCGAATGTCAGTTAAAAAACTTCAGTCCTACCTTAACTTTAAGCACAGAAGAAAACATTTTGGCATCTTCAGACACCCCTCCAATGTATGTTTTTTTGGTGAACACAGGCACGTGGTCATTTTCATCCTTCACCTCAATAAACACCTTGGCTGTGTTACCTAAAAAGAGGGAAGGAAAAGGGTAAATAGAACATTTTGTCCTAATTTTGTGATGCCTACTGGCATTCCATTTGCAGCCCAAAGAGACAAAAGGCAGTGTACGGAAAATAGTTTAAAAATAAGTACCTTAGATATCCTAAAATTGCATAACCTCAGAATCATTAAGGTTGGAAAAGACCTCCAAGTCCCCTTGGGCCCAATGCCCACCTTGTCCCCCAGCCCAGAGCACTGAGTGCCATGGCCAGGCCTTCCTGGGACACCTCTTTTTTGTTAATTATTATTTCTCCATTTGCCATTTTTTGGTGAATGAATCTTGATTTAACTTGGAGCTGAAATTTGTACCTTTATGAGAATAATTCCCATTACCTGGACACCTGCACTTCACCATCAGGGCTACCTGAATTTGCCCATGAGCAAAAAGGTGCCATGGATTTCCTTACAAAGGAAGCACTTTGGGTAAAAGAAAAGCAAAGACCTGAAGCTAATTTTTTTTAAATAACTAGAAAAGCACAAGTAATGATGTCATACCTTAGTTACACAGATTTTGGTCCCATTAAATACTCCTAAATGTTACAAAGAGGCAATGAAGGATCAGCACCAGCAGGTCTGCTGCAAACAGCAGCTTGCTTTATAGATTTTAATTATTACCAATTCTCCTGCAGCTACTTAACAGGTGATTCAGTTCTGGTGTCTCTAAACTCACAAATGGTCAGCAGCCCTGGCTAAGCAGCCTCAGCACCCAATTAATTTATTGTGTTAATTGAATGCATCTCTGTCCTCCTCCCAGACCTGGTCTGGCCCGGGGGAACTCCACAGGTATTACCCCCCCTGAGAGGTTCAACACAAACCACCACTGTTAATTTACTTTTATTAAACAGTTCCTGATCCACCCCACTGAACAATAAACATCTCCATCCTTCTGCAAGGGAAAAACATCCAGCAAAAACTACAGAGCCAGTGCCAGACAGAATCCACCGTGCAGTAATCTCCACCAACATCTGCTTCTCTCTTTCAGCATTGTATAATCCAGAAAGATTGCTGGAAATGATGATATCCAGTTCATTAAATCCGCATTTGCAAGTGATAAATTGCCTCATTGCAGAGTTGGTTTTCCCAGCTCGTTGCAGTGCCAGGGTAATTTAAATGTTGCACAGGTGCCACGCTGGGCTGAGTTAGTTACACAACAGGGCTCCTTTACCAAGGTTTAGGAGCTGTATCTTTAGGGCAAGAAAAATTTAAATCCAGACTATTCCTCAAATGGCCAAAGTCATATTCTGCCTATCTGATGGTCCAACTGATGGGAAACAAATGAGGACTCCACATAAATAACTGAAATCTGAAAAAAACCCCAACATTTATAACGCCATCGATCTGTCCCTGCCCAGCCGTGTGTCCTGGGGACAGGGAGGGCAGTGGGATCCTGGGGGGCACCAGGAAGAGCGTTGGCAGCAGGGCAGGGAGGGGATCCTGCCCCTCTGCCCAGCCCTGGGCAGGCACATCTGCAGGGCTGGGCCCAGCTCGGGCTCCTCAGCACAGCAGGGCCAGGGAGCTCCTGGAGTGGGGCCAGCGCAGGCTGCGGAGATGCCCAAGGGATGGAGCAGCTCTGGGAGCAGCAAAGGCTGAGGGAGCTGGGGCTGTTCAGCCTCCAGAGCAGAGCCTGAGAGGGGCCCTCAGCCATGTCTGGAGGGGCTGCAGGGAGGGGGCAGAGGATGGAGCAGGCTCTGCTCGGGGGGGCCCAGCAATGGCACAAGAGGAACGGGCAGGAACTGATGGCCAGGAAGTTCCAGCTGGACAGGAGGAAGAACTTGTTGGCTGGGCAGTGCCCCAGCCCTGAAGAGAGAGCAGAGAGGGGGTGGAGTGTCCTCCCTGGAGCTATTCCAGAGCTGTCTGGACACACTCCTGTGCCGTGTGCTCTGGGCTGGCCCTGCTGGAGCAGGGAGGTGGGACCAGATCCCCACTGTGATCCCTTCCAGTTTGACCCATCCTGGGATTCTGTGATCCAATGCATTAGTAGAAAGAGAAGGAAAAAAGAGAAAGGAAAGAAAAGAAAAATCTTGTTAAACCAGATCCTTATCGTTTCTGGCTGCAACACCAAGATACAGTAGAAAGATGAGATTCCCAGGCAGACTCTTCCACTGCAGCTCCACTCTTTAGGGAAAGAGGCAACAATGGGAGGAGGATTATGGGCAATGCATGGAAGTGATGTTGCTCTGCTGAGGGAATAACCAGCTACATTAATGGCTGGCACCAGTTTGCTGTTGGAGGGGAGATCTAATTCTATCAGTGCTGGCAGGATCATCCCTTTGCTCACCTACCCCAGCTCTGTGTAATGCAAATTTAAACACCTTTTGCCTGGTGCTCACTATCACTACCATGTCAAGCCCGCTTGGGTGAGGTGGCTCAGCCTCCTGCAAAGTTTGTGTCACAATTTGCTCAACAATCCATTTGTTTCATTTGCTGGTGGTGCTCTGAGCTGCCAAAACACTAATTTGTTTAGTGAGGGGTGAATGCTTTGAAAATGAGAAATGGAAGTTACCACATTACACACAAACCAAATGAAATATCCTGCACATCCACAGAGTCCCGTAAGCACCAAACACCTCCCTGCATTTCAGCTTCTGCCTGAGTTTTACACACAGCTTACATGTCCTCCCTTCTGGCAGATGGAGTGGAACGTGGCATCTGTGAACTCCTCCCTGTGCTGGCCTTTGCATCCAATTCCAAGCTCCAGCTGGCCGCAGGACACGGCTCCCAGCCAGCTACAGAGGTTGCCTGACCCTCATTCTCACCAAGGTCCCTCAGCAGCAGCTGTGCCAGGCGTGGAAGGTTGTGCCAGACCCTTCCCCATGGGGATTTTCCTGCTTGGTTCAGCAGATATCCCTGAACATGGGGCTCTGGTGCTCCTAAAATCCACCAGCCCTTCCCCTCCAGCATCCTGCCCCATGGAGAAGGCCACCCAGACAGAGCACATTCTTGCAGAGGCTTGTTTAGGCTCTGCCATTGGACTGCTTTTTCCTTCATATTCCCTATTTGTTCCTGCTGCTTCTAAACATTGTTTGTGTGTGGCTCCAATCCTCTTTGCATCCACTGTAAGGACAGGGATCCTCAAAGAGTGTCGATAGTTACACTCACCTTCCACAGGAGAAATTTTATATCCTCCTACATGTAAAACCTTCCATCTTTGGTATTCCAGATCTGGAGACCAGCTACAGTTACACTCTTCTTTATTTTTTTTTTTTTTATGGATTCCAGGAGTTGAAACCAGGATCTACTCCTCTACAGGACTTCTTGGGAGACCTCACAGAGTCAAAGAATATTTCTTATTGCTATGACTGAGTTACCTAAACAGCTGGCCAGGTGAAAGAAGAAACAGCATTTCTGCCTGGCTGAAGCAGCACAGGCTGTCAAGGGGGACAAAAAGAGCAAAGAAAATTGATTTTGTGCCACCTCAGTCTCCTGTGAGGTCCCTCTGTCCCATTTCCCTCTTTTCCAGCCCTCTGGAGAGGAGTGCACAGAGAATACAGAACTGCAGCTGCCTCTAAGTCAACTTAGGTTTATAAGAACCAGCGAAACAACCACTCCCAAGACCAGAAGACCTTTGGATCTTTGAGCTTCTGGGATTTGCTCAAGGAGAGTGAAAAGCTGAGGAACCTCTGAAACAACTTAAACTACTAAACCACGAATGACTAACATAAAAACCAAAACCCACAGAAACCCCAGGGAGCTGGTCACAACTAGTGTGTAGTAGCACTTCATTTCCAGAAGTTCCTCCCAGAGTGTGCATAGCATTTCATTTCCCGAAGTTTTTCCCAAACATTCTTGTTGAAAACCCTTTCCCAGCATCACTGCTTATCTACCTGCTGGATCCATTCGTTTCTCACCAGGCTGCAGAAATGAAGCCGAACTAAAGCAATGCTTTTTGGACACTGGGACAGCATCAATGATGCTTTGAGTGTCCCCTGATTAGTTTTACACAATGTTTCCCCCAATAGCACTGCCCTTGCCTTCTGGAACACACCAAACCAGCCACTGATCTAGCTGCTCTTCATGCAAAGATCATTTAACATCAATCCCCGCATCTCAAAAGGCAGTGGCTCTTCTGCTGGAGGCAACAGCAGATTCTTCCCTTTAAAAGTGCATTTTAATCGCAGTGGGAGTGAGATTTGTAATTTGTCAGGGTTTAGTAGCACTTTACTCCTGCCTTACAAGGGCTGGAGCAGACTCTGGGCTTTGGCAGGTGAACTGCACTGAGCCGCAGCTGCTCCATCTCGCCTTCCTGAACTTGGCACAACCAAATAGGAATCAGCACTGAATATCTGTTCAGTGGCATTTTGATCTAAATCAGCCCATAAAGCCTGAGGAAGCTCCTCATGTGCTATCACTGATCAAGAATGGTGCAAAAAGAAGCCGTGACAAAACACAAACAGCGACATATCTGGAACAGCACCGATCCAAGCTCTGATTGAAACCCATATAAAACTTCATTTTCTACCAAATAATTAACTGAATGAGAGCTCACATTTGATGTGGTCTCTCTAAAATGCACTAAATACACCTAAAGAAATTTGAGGTTTGTCCCAAACTGCCCCAGAGCTGTGAGGAATCAGCCACAGCTCTGCAGGCTCTGCAGTGTATTGTGTCCATCTGTCTTGGATTTGGGGACTGCCAGGGCAGCCAACTTGTAAAACGCCATCAGCACCAACTTTTGCAACATATTTGAAACTAAAAATGTGAGGCTACTTATTATTACTTTGCTATTACATCGGGGACAAAGAATCCATGTTCATATTTAACTTTGTAGGACAACTGTTCCCAATCACTGTTGAGCAGCTGCAGGATTTTAGTTATAAAACTGGTTTTCTCCCTTTTTCACTTTATTTCCAAAGGTTTACTTTGTGTTTAGAAAACAAAAACAACACAGGAGAGACAGAGCTGTTCCCTTACCCCCCCAAAACCCAGAGCAAAGCCCAAATCAGAGCTGGGAACACACCTGGGGGAATGCCAAAGGTGAAAGACAGTTCTACCTGACTGGATCAAACATGTAAATAATCAGGGTCTATTTTTGCTTAAAAATCTTTTGACACCAAACTAAAAACCATCTCTGACAAGATCCTGTCACAGGATCCCAGAATCACTGAGGTTGGAAAAGCCCTCCAAGGTCACCGAGTCCCCCCTGTGCCCGATGCCCACCTTGTCCCCCAGCCCAGAGCCTCCTGGGACACCTCCAGGGAAGGGGACTCCAAACCTCCCTGGGCAGCCCCTGCCAAGGCCTCACCACCCTTTCCAGCAACAAATTCCTCCTCCTGGCCAACCTGAGCCTCCCCTGGCACAGCTGGAGGCCGTTCCCTCTCCTCCTGTCCCTTGTTCCCTGGCAGCAGAGCCCGACCCCCCCCTGGCTCCCCCCTCCTGTCAGGGACTTGCAGAGCCAGAAGGTCCCCCCTGAGCCTCCTTTTCTCCAGGCTGAGCCCCCCCCAGCTCCCTCAGCCCCTCCTGCTGCTCCAGCCCCTTCCCCAGCTCTGTTCCCTTCCCTGCACACGCTCCAGCCCCTCTGGGTCTTGCACAAAGTACGGGGTCCAAAAATCACTGCAGCTCCAGAGTAGGTCACCAATGCCCTGCTCAGAAATTCCAGAGTAAATTCCACTGATTTAGTGGTATCCAGCACCCAAAGTGGCAGCACCTCATTGCCACTGGGTGTCTCAGTGTATTAATTCCATGTCACAGAATCCCAGAGCAGGGCATTCACAGTCACCCATCTCCAGGGTGGATACATCATTTCAGTAGCACCAAAGTCCTCAGTGGTGCATTAATCCTGCTTCATCTCCTCCCACTGAAGCTCATCAATTCAGTGCCCCAAAACTCTGAAGTAGAATTTAACCTGATTAAAACTCATCAAAAACGAACAAGGTGCTGAGAAAACGGAAAGGAAGACATTGTGGAAATGCAGGAATCAAACCCAGAGGTCAAGGGGTCTCCATCACAAGGACATAAGTGATTTAGCTGGCCAGATACTTGTAAAATATTTAAAATATATACATCTACCAAATTCTTTGGCTCTCCATGCAGCACAGGGCATATTCCAAGCCCAACACAGGCTGTAAACTCCTGGGTAGCCAAAAACATTGGACTGAATTCCAATTCCAATCCTTATCGAGCATCCCTGGATAAAATAATTCAGCCACCACCTTTTGGGAAGTGCTGGTCTGTTGGGAGAACTGCTCTAGTGCAGGCTGGGAGTTAGAAGAGGGATAGAAAGGCCACTGCTTCCCTCAAAGGAGAGAAGAACCTGCTGACTCCCTCGTTTCTTGATCCATGTCAGAGAAAGCTTTGGAGAAGGCTGGAAGATGCCCAGAAGCCTCATGTCCTCCCTGTGCACGGCCTGGCTGCATTTTCCAGCACATGCCCTTCAGTGGAGCTCTGCCAGGCACAGAAAGCTGAGACAGCTGTCCCAGAGCCCTCCTGCTCTCCCTCTGCACATACAGCTCCAACGGCACCTGGAACATCAGCCAGGATGACACGTGCTCCATTTCCCAAAATCTCCTGCTGCTTACATGAGTAATACTGGAAATTGGGATGAACATATTGTAACTGCCAGCCCTGGACAATGTCTCAGGCTTTCCCTCAAACTATTCCCAAGCTTTATGGCATGTGCCCCAATACCTAAGCCCCTTCAACTAATAGGAGATCACAGAATCCCAGAATGGTTTGGGTTGGAAGAGATCTTAAAGCTCAACTTGTTCCATCCCCTGCCATGGGCAGGGACACCTCCCACTAGCCCAGGTTGCTCCAAGCCCCATCCAACCTGGCCTTGGACACTTCCAGGGATCCAGGGGCAGCCACAGCTTCTCTGGGCAACCTGTGCCAGGGCCTCCCCACCCTCACAGGGAAGGATTCCTTCCCAATATCCCATCTAAACTTATCCTCTGTCAGTTTGAAGCCATTCCCCCTTGTCCCGACACTCCAGGCCTTTGGAAATAGTCTTTCTCCATCTTTCCTGTTGGCCCCTTCAGGCCCTGAAAGGCCACAATCAGGTCACCCCAAAGCTTCTCCTCTCCAGGCTGAACAATCCCAACTCTCCCAGCCTTTCCTCCCAGCAGAGCTGCTCCAGCCCTCTGATCCTCTTGGGGCCTCCTCTGGACTGGCTCCAGCAGCTCCATGTCCTTGCTGTGCTGTTCCCAGGGCTGGAGGCAGCTCTGCAGGGGGGATCTCACCTACCTTTAAGAACTTGCAAAATCTGGGTGGTTTTTCCTTGTAAAAAACCCCCAGGCCTTTAACTGTGGGGGGTCACAACCTGCAGCGTGGGAAAGACTCAGTGTGTCATGGAACAGCTCTGTCACCTTTGACCATGACAGGGTGGCACTTTGTCCCCCTGTCAGATTGCCCAGAGTGAGCAGCCAAAGCAGACAGAGCTGACACAGCTCACTCCTCCCTGCAGCAAAGGAGAAACAGAGATCTCACTGTGCTCTGAGTTCCAGTTTTCCCAGAGCTCTCTGTGCCTGGACACAGGCAGGATGAATTATCTCTGGCAAGAAGGTGACAGGCAGATGAAAGATTGATGGGAGTTCTCGTGCCCTGGGCTGGTCATGCAGCCCTCCTTGGGAGCAGAGATCAAATCCAAGGCTGTGGCAGCACCATCCCTACAGCATCAGACAGCCAGCAATGCTTTCAAAGATGCACTTGGATTCAAATTGCTCCTTATATTGCTAAGGGTTTCCAAAAATGATGAGAGGGTTTAATTATGCACCCACGCTGTAAGTGCCCAGATCTCACTGATGTTTAGGAACAGTCTGAGATTGACATTTTGGTTATGGTATCTCCCTGGATTGACAACTAACTAAATAATGGTTATTATCCTAAAACTGAAGTCTGAATTAAATCTGAACTCTATCTGTAGTTCCTAGATTCAAAATATCAGTGTGATTCCCTTTTCTGAATGAATTATGCACACACAGCAGCAGGTACCCAAAGCCAGGCTTCAAGGGACTCCTCAGCTCCAAAACACACCCATGATGCTCCTTAACAGGAAAAAAACTGACACATGGAAACCAAAAAATACAAAAAACATTGGACAGGAACAGTCTGTGTGGAAACATCTACCAAAATACTTTTTTTACAAGGTTTGGGGCTTTTTTTAAGTTCTGGCCCAACTGTGAGTTAAATAGGAAGTGGTACAGGACTGGTAAAGCGAGCCAGGTGTTTGAAAGCCAGACTTCCTGGACATTTTCCTTACAGGCAGGATGATAAAGACAATCAAAAGATGTTTCAAAATATTTTTCTTTGAAAAAGAAAGCCGCTCAAGGGAAAAAGAAAACCCACACCATGAGACAGAGTCAAAGTAAACCTGTTGGGAATCAACTCCTTCCTGCCTGGAGATGCTGCAAAGAACCTTCTGGTCTTTGTCCCAGCACTTTGCTCTCAGGTGGGGTTTCAATAAACTCCACACAGACCCTCAGGGGTGAGGAAGGAGTTTTTTCTTCCTGCTCCCCCTGCTGTGGGTCTGTTCTCCATCCTCTTGGTAGCGTCCCAACCCTTGGTGAGGTGTCACCAGCCCAGTTTGGGCCATGCAACGTGTTTGTGAAAAACTCACCGTGCCATTGCATCACATAACCCCCTAATAACACTGAGAATGTACAATTTGTGCCATCAACTCTCTGTTTATACATCAACATGACTTTTGACTGTGTCACTGAGACCTACATGGAGATGGTTTGTGAGGATTTATCTCAAAACTGAGAAGGAAGTCGGGCTTAGAGATCCATCATCACCCTCACATCTCCGGGAGCACAACCACGTCACTGCCTCACCCTCATCAAATAACAACACCCATCCGTGTGAAAAAGAGATTTAAAAGGATGGATTTTCCCACTTACTCTTGGAAGGGACGCGCAGGTTGGATCTCACCACTTGCAAGGAATCTGCCTGGACCCGGAGCTCGTAACTCGTCACACTTTCATAATCCAGAGCCTTCTTAATGGAGATCACGCCCGTCCTGTTGTTGATGGCAAACACATCTGAAAGCCAGCAAAAACACAAGCAACTTTTTTTCTAAGATGCATAAACATGTTTGTTTTCTTTTTAATGCTCAAGTGTTTTGTTTTGGTGGTGACACTGTTCTCCGACACTGTCTGTGGAAAGTCATTCCCCTTCCTCCCCCAGGCCTCTAAGCTCCACTTTGAAGCTGTGCTGGATCCCACAGCTACTGGGATAACCATCCCAGGATCAGGGAATCATGGAATATCCTGAGCTGGTAGCGATCCACAAGGCTCATCGAGTCCAGCTCCTGGCCCTGCACAGGATTTGAGGTCGCACTGGCAAGAGGAGACAAGTCAAACAGCCCCCTCTCACAAAAAGGAGGATGGGATGGAGAATTCTTTCACATCCCTCCAAATTGTTCAGTGGGACTCTGTTGAGATTTCCAGGTGGATCACAGAGAGTATCCAAGCAGGATGTTTTGTTCAGGTATCAGGTTCTAACCTAATGCTTGTGGCAAGGCAAACTCTGTAAGGCTTTAAGCCAGACTTAAGAAAGTAGAACTTCATCAAAGCTCGTTTCAGCATGCCCTGGATTCACACCATATGGCAGCAATGGGAGTTTTTACATTAGTGAAAATTAGTGCAATTCTGCAAATTAATTTGATCTTTAGCTCATCTCTAAAGGCTTGGTAATGGCGGTCATAGAATCATGGAATCACAGAACGGTTTGGTTTGCAGGGGTTGGGACCTTGAAGCCCAATTCATTCCAACCCCATGGGCAGGGAGACCTTCTACCATCCCGGGTTGCTCCAAACCCTATCCAACCTGGCCTTGGACACTTCCAAGGATCCAGGGGCAAACACAGCTTCTCTGGGCAACCTGTGCCAGGGCCTCCCCACCCTCAGAGGGAACAATTCCTTCCCAATATTTCATCTAAACCTGTTCTGTCAGTTTGAAGCCAGCCCCCTTGTCCTGTCACTACAAAAAGTCACTCCCCATCTTTCCTGCAGGCTCCCTTCAGGTACTGGAATTCCCTCATGCTTGGCCAGATGAGGCGGGATTTCACCTCTGGGTTGGACTCGAGGTCTTTTCCAACCTCAACCAGTGTGTGATTCCCCTCAGCAGCAGCTTTACCTCCCAACACTTCCTTGCAGGCTTCTGGTGCCCATACCAGGCCAGGCATGACCACTGAGACTCAAATATGACCATGGATATCGTACTCACCCTCTTCATTCCCTGAAACAATGGAATACACGACTGTCTGGTTCAGGGCGGCCGCGGTGACAACGGCGACCACGGTTCCTTTGGGGGCATTTTCACTCACTGGGGGGGGTCTGTGGAGTGGAACAAAAGGATTGGGAGTTACATTCCCGTTGCCTGAACAGCAGGTTAACAGCTTCCTCCATCTATCAGGCTGCCAAAGGGAGAGGATCTGTTATTTAAGAAAACCACATTAAAAAGGCAAATGTTGACCTCTGTGCAAATGCAAAAACCAGTAAAAAGTCCAACTGAGGGGGCAACATAAACATCTAATGGTTCTTTCATATGAGAAATGGAAAAGAAGGGAATAATGAGCAGAAAGTGAAACAGGAGAACCATCACAGCCTGATAAACTAGGGGGAAAATTTAGAACATAATAGGTCTTTTATAATACTCAGAAATTTTATAATACTAAGACAACTCAGTAATCTGTCAGAAAAGCAGGAAAATTTATTCATGGATCAGTAAACACTTTGGGGTCACTTCCACAGGAATTTCTGCTCTTCAGAAGGAAACATAAAATTTCCTGCCAACCCATTTTGGTACTAAAAGCCAAGATGCTTTTCAGGAAATCAACTTCAACCCAAGTCTAGCCAGTCCCTGAGAGAGTGGGGAAGCCCTGGCTCAGGTTGCCCAGAGAAGCTGTGGCTGCCCCTGGATCCCTGGAAGTGTTCAAGCCCAGGTTGGATGGGGCTTGGAGCAACCTGGGCTAGTGGGAGGTGTCCCTGCCCATGAGACGAGCTTTAAAATCCTTTCCAACCCAAACCACTCCCTGATTCTGTGATTCTGTACACACACAACTTTTAAGCATTGAGTACATTGGTTTTGGTTCACTGAGCATGATTTATGTCAAGAAAGAAGAAAAAACCAAATGATTACACCACTAACACTTGGGTATCTCACAATCTTCATACCCTGCAAACACTGACCAGGGAGCATCTCACACTCAGTACTGTTCCATCATGTCTAAATAATGAGTGGATTCCTGGAACCACCAAAGAATTACTTCACTCTTTCTCTTCTGTTTTTCAAATCCCATCTCCTCAGAAAATGTGATGAGGAACATTTTGAGGTGCTATCTCCTCAAGGAAACTGTAACTACTTCAGAAAGAACAAAGAGTCTGTGCTGATGTCTTTAAACTGATCTAAACAATTTCAACCAAGGGAAGTGAGACACTCGAGCTCCTCTCCAATCAAACATTGAGATTTTCATCACGGCAAGCGAAGGTTGAATCCATGCTTAAAGCTCTTAAAAAACAATTTGAAAGGAATTTTTTTTTACACTCAGCCATAAATGCAGATGGATTTTTAATAAAACTAGCATCGGGCAGACACTTTCAATTTTTCAAAGTTACACTGGTTTGATGTACAACAAAATAAAAGACAGATGAGGATCTGTTCAGAGAGGCTCCTCAACAGGAAGAGACTCCAAGGGCTATTTCAGTTGTGCAGTGGTCTTCAAAGTTCTGGACAGAACCTACACCTGCTTCATTCCAGGAAATATCATGGATGTATTTGGAAGACATGTAGATGTGGCACCTGGGGACACACTCTAGTGGTGGCCCTGATGGTGCTGGGGGAGTGGCTGGATTTGATGATCTCAGGGCTCTTTTTAAGCCTCAATGATTCTGTTACTCTATGAATATTTTATGACTTCCTCCTTCAATCTTACAAGTGTTTTTCAAGTATTCCACCTCATACCACATTTTCCCATTCTAAGGGCAGGCAAGCTGGCATGGCCCCAAGGTTGCCAGAGCTCCAGGAGGGTTTGGACAATGCTCTCAGGCACAGGGTGGGATTGTTGGGGTGTCTGTGCAGGGCCAGGAGTTGGACTGGATGATCCTTGGGGGTCCTTCCAACTCAGGACATTCTGTGATTCCCTGAACCCCAGGTCACAATCCTAACTAACTGAACCCAAATCTTTGCCATTACCCCCCACGAAATGGGTGATGTGCCCTTGAACTCTGCCTTACAAACACCTCCTTTGGGATGAATATTGGTTTGAACATCCTAGAAACAGGCTGAGACACTGAACATACACAGTTAAGCTCTGCATCATGCAATAGTGGCTGTACTGAAACACTGACCTCCCCTTTTTTTTCCACAGGAAAAAGTGATGGTAAATTCACTTTTACCCAAAGACGTGCCTGGAGCAGATCCCTCTGGCTCCCACCCTTCTGCCTCCGCATCAGTGGGAGAAATAAAATTCCTCATTGCCCTTGATTTATTAAGCCATAAAACTACCTCTATGAAATGCTTATTAATGTGCATTTTACCAATGCAAAGGGTAATCTTAGAGACAGGGAAAAAAGGCTGTCAAACCTGGAAGCATTTAAAGCTGGGCTTCTTTTGATGAGGTCAGCAAGGAAAATAACCTTTTTATGTTGCATTATATATTACGTTGGTTTGTTTTCCTTCTGAAGGTGTATGATTGGAAAAAAACCCAACCACACAAACTTCATTTCAGGCACACTTTCAGTATATTTTTAGTGGCAATGGCCTTGTACCTCCCCCTCTGCCACGGCTGAACTCAGTGGATTGACAAATCAATAACAATTAGGGAGACGTTTTGTGTTTGCTCTGAGAGGCTCTGGAGGGAGGGGCAGAAACCCCCCACAGTAATGGCTGTGGTTTCATTCCCCTGATTTAACCTAAGGGATTGGGATCAATGGGAACAATGCATCAGCTGGATAAAACACTCAGCTCGTCTGTTCAGAGCATTTTCATGAATTGGAGAGAAGCAAAGAGGCAAAACCCAAGACCATTCAAGTGACAATATCCTAGTTTTTATCCTGTACTACAGGCTCTAATAAGCTTTCCTGGGGAATAAGTGCATTATTTTCTGTTTTGAATGACTAAGAAGGAAAATGGTGCTTTTGTTTCTTTTTCAGTGGAGGACACATTATTTGAAGCTGGATTAGGGCACAGGCAAGGGAGTTTTTATGCAATAATTTTATGTTACTGGACAATAAAAGCTGGTTCTTTTTGTGAGAAGATGTGACTCCAGCAAAGCAGGAGAATCCAGCCCAAGCCACACAGAGAAGGCTTGGAAAACTGACCTTGGAGTGGAAGGGAAGGGCACTGCTGTGACCTCCACATGTGGTTTCAGAGAGTGGGCAGGTATTTTTGATCAAATTTGCAATAACTTAACCAGTCTCTGAGTGCAACAGCCACCAGAACATTACCCTGCCAGCCCCAGGCTCTGCCCACCTGGCACCACTGGGGTGTCCCTGTCACCTGGGTGGGATTGGGGTGGCACTGCCTCATGGCCCAGGGCTGACTTCATGGAATCACAGAGTCCTTAACGTTGGGAAAGACCTTTAAGGTCATCCAGTCCAATCATCAATGCAGCAGCATGTTCACCACTAAACTGTGTCCCCAGTGCCACAGCCACAGGCTTGTCTAACACCTCCAGGGCTGGGGACTCCAAACCTCCCTGGGCAGCCCCTGCCAAGGCCTCACCACCCTTTCCAGCAACAAATTCCTCCTCCTGGCCAACCTGAGCCTCCCCTGGCACAGCTGGAGGCCGTTCCCTCTCCTCCTGTCCCTTGTTCCCTGGCAGCAGAGCCCGACCCCCCCCCGGCTCCCCCCTCCTGTCAGGGACTTGCAGAGCCAGAAGGTCCCCCCTGAGCCTCCTTTTCTCCAGGCTGAGCCCCCCCAGCTCCCTCAGCCGCTCCTGCTGCTCCAGCCCCTTCCCCAGCTCCGTTCCCTTCCCTGGACTTGCTTTGAAATATTTTGATGGTTCCTTTCCGAGCACAGCACCCTCCTGAATCTGGGATTTCTAATATTCCTCCCCAAGACTTCCCTGCCTGGGGATCCACATCCATACAGCCCCTGAAAGTAAGAAGACCCCACGCAACAACATGATGATCCACTTGCACCCCATAAAGCTTGGGGTGAAACGAGATAAACAGCAACCAACACCCACCCCTGAGCTGCAGCTCAGCCCACCCAGAGTCTTCATCCTTCCTCCTCAACACTCTCCTTTGCAAAACCATCTGTTGACCACAATTAAATCTGTTCCTAGATCAGCCTTCCATCCATTCCCATGGTGTTTTTCCATAACCATCCCAGTGATGTGGATTTTAGGTTGGTTGAGCCCCTTTGAAGTTTCCACAGGAATAATAAATGGTGGTGTCTTGTCAGCATCCAGGATGGGATGGAGCCCAGGAGAGACCCTCATCATATTTCTTTGGGTTTGCCCCTCAGAAAAAACCAAAGCAACTCCAAACCAGGAGAACAGGATTAAAATGAAGCCATTATTTATGCAAAAAATAGATAAAATTTTTTAAAATAATAATATATTTTAATTTGCTCTGTCTCAATTACCTGAAAAGGAGGGGGGGGGGGGGGGGGGGGGGCCCCAAAAGTCAAAAACATTGCAGGGCTTAACTATTTGAAGTGTCTGAAGTGAAATTTTAGCTTTTCCTCTCTTCCTTTTTCCCTTTGCTGAACACGTCAGACTCGCAGCCATTTTTCAATTTGCCTGAGATCCAATATGCTGCAAATTCACCATGAAACTTGTCTATCTCCCAAAGCATGAACAGGAGATTTAATAAAAAATTAAATTTAAAGGCAGTAAACCCAATAATAATTTGGAAAATTGGCTTAGCAGTGAAGTTTAATAGTGTGATGTGTATGGACTCCATATTAGACACTTCAGTCAACTCTGTTTGTGGATTTCATATTTTATATATATGTTTTTATAGCATATTGTAATGCATTTTTATATATATTTATATTTTAATTGATGGAGGTCCATAAGCATAGGTCAGAACTAAAGTTTTATTGTTGTTTAATGATATTATTCAGATTCTCACCTCAACTTGATTAACACTGAGGGTATTTTCACTCAATTTATCAAATTTTTGGGTTCCTAGAGATGCAACTGTAACTGTCTCAACAGTTTGTCAGAGACAGTGATTATTTTATTTTTATTTCTGGAAAAGAATATTTTCTTCTTAATTAGATGTACTTTTCAAGCAGTTTGGCTTCAAAGTTTCCTGAAAAGGACCACATATTCCTTACTGGACTTAATATCCTCCTTTTCTGTCTCAGTTCTTGGAGTGGTTGG